AATATTGCAAAAATCAGGAGCATCCTGTCTCAAAGTGATGCTGAAAACCTGGTCCATGCATTTGTTACTTCCAGGCTGGACTACTGTAACTCTTTACTATCAGGATGTCCCAATAATTCCCTAAAAAGCCTCCAGTTAATCCAAAATGCTGCAGCCAGAGTACTGACAGGAACTAGCAAGAGAGATCATATCTCTCCCATATTAGCTTCTCTCCACTGGCTCCCTGTAAAATTCAGAATAGAATTTAAAATCCTTCTCCTAACATACAAAGCCCTTAATGACAAGGCTCCATCGTATCTCAAAGACCTCGTAGAGCCTTATCATCCTAACAGAGCACTTCACTCTTAGAGTACAGGTTTACTTGTGGTTCCTAGAGTCCACAGAAGCAGAATGGGAGGCAGAGCCTTTAGCTATCAAGCTCCTCTCCTATAGAACCAACTCCCAGTCTCAGTTCAGGAGGCAGACACCCTCTCTACCTTTAAGATTAGACTTAAGGCTTTCCTTTTTGATAAAGCTTATAGTTAGGGCTGGATCAGGTGACCCTGAGCCTTCCCTTAGTTATGCTGCTATAGGCCTAGGCTGCTGGGGGGGCCCATGATGCTCTGAGTTTCTCCCCCATTCTCTCCCCTCGGCTCTCCTTTCCTCTCTCCCTATGCTTCTATATGCCACCATTACACATCACTAACTTTGTGTCTCCTCTCTCCCGTAGTGTGTCCTCTCTCTCTCAAGGTACCTTTCTAGGCTCTGGAGATCTATGATTCTGATGAGCAGTCACCGGCCACATCAACCAGACCAGTGTTTGATTGTTTGTTGTGTCCTGTTGCTTTTCTTCTTTTGTTTCTCCTCTATCCGCTCACCCCAACCGGTCGAGGCAGAAGGCTGCCTACCAAGAGCTGGGGTCTGTCGGAGGTTTCTCCCATTAAAGGGAGTTTTTCCTCCCCACTGTCGCCAAGTGCTTGTTCAGGGGGATTTGCTGGGTTTTCCCTATGTAATAATAGTGATAACAGTAAGGTCTAGACTTTAATATGTGAAGTGTCCTGAGATGACTTTTGTTGTGATTTGGCGCTATACAAATAAAATTGATTTGATTTGATTTGAGAAGGCTCTATGCAGCATTAGACTGTGTAGCAAAGTTATTTCTCTAAAAATAAAATATTCCAGTGAGAAATCATATTTGAAGTTGATGACAAATAATTTTGGCTCATAGGAAACGAACCTGGCCTGAAAATCACACTAAGCTGCCATTTAATTTGCTGAATGAGCCAGAGGTATGAAACCTGGCTGGACATGCTGCATCTCCGGATCTGGAGATTTGGATGAAATAAATCCAGGAATTTTCAATTTGCAGGTTGGCAGGTTGGCAACTAAACACACCACTACAACAAAATGTAGCAACTTAATACTTATCCTGAACACCACAACACCTAAAGAGTAAAAGGCAAATGACTAGCCGGTTTAAAATGTTACATTAAAAGTCATGCAATGTCTTTGTAAATTTTGATTTCTCTGATGTGCCAGTTGGTTTAACACAGAATAATTAGTACTCCTGGTACAAGCTGAGGCTATCCTTTACCAATGAATCAGGGTGGTGCAGTAAGCACATTTCTTGGCAAACAGGTTGCAGGAGCAGTTGAGGCAAAAAGCGAAGTCGTCCCAAGAAGTGAGCCACTGGTCGGCCAGTTGGTACTTGCATCCGGTGCAAACGAGCCACTCCTTATGCCAGGGCTGGTCACAGTAGTTCACCCCTCCAGTGGTGATGGGCTGAAGCATATGCACCAGTAAGCCTCTTGTTTATATACTGTACATGTACATTCAGTTTTAATGACTCTCAAATAAATGTACTGGGGCTGCAATTGATTAATCTGCTGATTTTTTTCACTAAACTGTAATTCTACTGGTTTCCAGCAAGTTGCTTTATTTCTATATTTTAATCCATAATGAAGCTATTATGACACTGTGTGCTCTTTTCATTCTGCCTCCTCTGTCATTTTTGATTATTTATTGCTGACTTAGTCCCAGGCGAGCCACATGATTGCTGTCTCACCTTAAAAGATGCCTCCCATTCCTGCCTGCTTGACCATC